GGAGGACATATTGGTTTGTTGTTCTTTTTTTTTCCTGAGGGAAGGGCAAGAGAGTGGAAGCTTTCTTTGAGACCCAAAGGAAAGGGAAATGTGTGAGAGGCTGAGGTGTGCTCTCCTCAGTGCGGGGCAGCATCACAGTGTCTATAGATCGCAAGATAAAGCTCAGGTTCAGTGTGTCACTCCTCAGCTCTTCTTGATCGCTTGCACAGCTTTGCTGCTGCACTGAAATCCCCAAGGCACACTAAAAGTATCTCCAGCTTGCGGGTTTCTGTCATTTGAGAAGATGGCTCACAAGCTCTATTTGACTCAAGGCATTACTGTAGGCATAAAATTACAATAGCACTAAGCAGATGAAAAAAGTGACCTATTTAATTACCTGCTTCTTAAAGTATAAATATTAACAAGGGGTTTTTTTACCTCCACAGGTAGTAATTTCACAGTTCCTAGGTTTCATTTCATAATTTTCAAACATTTAGCTTAATTTTTCCAAATTGGATCTAAAATTTTGAGTATATCTCATTGGTATAGTTACTGCCAAATGTCACCTGCTCAATGCCAAGTAAGAAAAAAATGTATACCCATTCTAATTCTCATTATTCTTTTGGTTGTGTATGCAGTATGAAAATCCACACAGCCACGCAACCACTGGGGTACAGATGTCTGACAAGGACAAATCTAAAGATCCTGAGTTTGGTTTCCTGTTCTGTTTTCTGTGCATGCTATCATACTGTAATAAAGTTTTGCTAATTAATGATGCTTTCACACTTAATACCAGTCCTGTTTCTGTCCTGTGCCTGGTGTATCTGCTGCCACAACAGTTCCCTCCACGGACTGAAAAACTGCAATTCCAGTTGGACACATATTAGGAGCATCCTGGGTCTGCAAATCCCTATTTTCAATGACTCAAAACTTCTCAGTATTACAAATATTAACACTTTATTAATTATAAATTAACAGTTTATTACACGTGTTAACATCATCTCCATATATAAAGTGCACAGTATAAGGTACACAGCTCCCCTTTTCTGTTTTTGAGCATAAGCACATCTACCTTCATTCTACATTTAAGGCACAAAGTATCACTAGAGAGAGATTGCATTGTCTCTACTTAGGCATTTTTCCTCCCCTAGTGCCACTAAAACTTGTGCTCTTCCTGCCTCCAGATCTTATCCAGTGGGACACTGGAAGAATTTCCATTTTTTTTCGGTGATGTGGCATTTTTTTAAATTAGCCATCACTGTCTGAGCAGGACATTATCTTTGTATTCTGTGTGCTTTCTGATTCCAAATCAAAATAAGCATTGCAGAAAAGGTCTTCAATAAACTGAAAACATTCATTTGTGTAAGAAAAAGGATTTCCCCCCCTGAAAGTTTATGCATAATGAAGGTAAAAAGGAACATGCAGCTAGCCCAGGATGGTTTATGCATCACTCTTTATGATTATATTATTTGTCTTGATTCTAGTAGGAATTTGACAAGCCTAGAATATAAAGGAAAGTCAGGGTAGTATGATAGAACTAGTGGATTTCAATTATTTTAGTTTACTAATGCTTATATATATTTAACAAATATGAAAATATTTTCCACCCAAAAGGTCTCCCTTCATTAACACAGGCAAGAAAATATTTTTTTAAAAATCTTATTCACAAGTTGTATGTCTATTTCATAGACCCTATATATACTTAACTACAGTGGAAATTATTGGGAAAGGAATTTGGTAGCATCATTAAAAACAGTTTCAAGAAATTGAACAAGTATGAGAAAATAACCATAAGGAAAGATCGTAAGAGCAGAAATTGAAGACACCACAGAACTTTGAAAGCCAGATTGGGTTTGGTACAGCTGTATTACAGCTCCTACAGGCTGTGAACTGGTTGTGTCACAGCTCAACACACTGCTGTTGTCACCATACAGCACACGTGGGTCAGGGTGACAGCTCTCTGCCATAGGAGCTCATTTCACTGACAGCTGCAGTGGACAGGAAAGGCAGTAGTGATAGAAATACTTAATGGTTTCTGTCAAGGTAGATGCTTTCATGCAGGGGACGTGCACTTTTTTTGGTATAGCAGTCTTGTTAAACTATATATTATCTCCAATCTTGTTAGAAATCACAGATTTACAACTGCTTATCTCAGAGGTGAGAGATACTTAAAAATACTGAAAACTAGTGGCAAAAGTCTCTAGATTAACCTCCTCGGACTTTAGACACGAAGCAGACTGATTTCCAAAATCGAAAATTAGCACATCTACTTAAGTGCCTGCATTCTGGGGGTGCTCAGCAAATTCCAAGGTTCCCAAAAGCCATGTTGGGTACCCATCAGGTTTCACGCAGCCTGAGTGAGTGAGCAAACCCCACTGGAGTGGATGGAAAGACACCACTGTGTTTTGAATTAAGTTTATCAACTGCAGAAGCAGCTGCAGTTTGAACCACATATGCAAATCAAATCACCAGATGTCTTGGCACCTCTATAAGCCCTTAGAAAATGTTTGTGAACAATAGTGATAATATCTGGGCTTTGAGAATGAGCCTCTTCCCCACAGTCATCCATTTTGGATGTCACCTGTTTTTCATATACGGGGTTATTAAAAAGCTGCCAAAAGCAAAAATTATGTCACAAGGTGTGTTTTATCAAAATTATAACAAAAATTCTTCTACACTGGTGACCTGGAAAATCATACTATATTCTCCTAGAAACAAATCATCTGCAAAGAAAGCAGAATTTCAAGTTCTTAAACAATTTACCACTTCAGCTGGCAACACATGTGACAGTGGAAGTCCTGCTGATAATCCTTCTTTTTTAGTCCTGAAAGCAATGGAAAACAGGCCCCAGACATGTTTCTATCATCCACTCCATGGGGCAAAAAGAACCCTTCTCACCACGCCTGCTGCAGCAGTGTAATGCTATGCAGGTCCTCCTTTGTGCGATTATTAAAAGTACCATATAAACCTCTTTATTCCCAAGCCCCAGTTAGTGAGGGAGCTTTTCAGTATTGTCTCCACACAGCAGAATATTTGCAGCCGTTTCATGACCCCAGTTTAGAGCCCAGATGTCCCCAGCAATCAAGCTGAATAAAGTGGAGTTGAATTTCTACAGTTCTGTGTCTTATTTTTTGGGATGTTTGGTGGAGGAAGCTCGAGACTGGTCTGCAGAAGCCAGGATAGCTCAGCTGGGAGAGCTTTCAGAGAAACTGACTTGCCAAGGAGAACATCCTCATTCTCTTTGGAAATATAGTTGTTGGGCTGAGGTGTCCCTAAAGGCAGGAAACCTGCAAGACAGGCTTTGCTCATGCCTTCTCAGACCAGATGATAAGCTCCAGAAATGCACCTAAAGCAGTTCAACCATTAATGTATATTCAGTCCAGGGGCCAGACTACAGCTTATCTGAACTAAAGTTGCCCCAAAATGTGCAGCAAATGAAGAATTCATATAGAATAAACCCCTGCACTTATGCCTTAAAACAAATTTTGGCAAGCAGGAGAGAGAAATGGTCTCCCTTTCATACAGGCATATCTGACTTTCACGTGGCTTATGCCAAAGGTAAATATAATGCTGCACACCATGAAGTATAAGGGACTCTGTAGTCCCGTAGAAAATCCTAATTCAGTGGTTCGGATGAACCAGGGAACTTTATTATGGCTGTGTGTGATACAACTTCGAATAAAGGTAATTTTTGGTAGACATTTATGGGCAGGATTTTTTTTTCAAGTGCTCTACCCAAGCCACACCAATTATAATTGAACAAAACTCTTTCCAATAGCAATGCCAAGCTACAATCAAGTTGAGCTCAGAGGTCACATTTTGCAGCAACTAATTACTGAACGAGGAGGAAAAGAAATATATGTAATATTCCTCAAAGAAAAATGAAAATCTTTATTATATTGTTATAAAACATCAGTAAAATAATTATTTTCATAACCTTGTACTGTCATGGTTATAGAAAGCAGATGTGAAAGACTCCCATGCTAATCTCTCAGGAAGCATGTCGTGGTCCTTCTCCAAGAGCAAAAAATTTGCATAGAAGAATGTATTGTTAAAAATGTTCAAAATTATCACTAGAATGTGTGTCACAAACTATCTATATCCATATTCGTTCATTTTTCAAATATCGTGGCATAATTCAGTGACGAAAAGTGTCACCAAGCCTAAAAAGCATCCAATACGTATCCCAAGGTCACCGCACGCAGGATGTGTAATGCACAGATGAGGCGAGTTGAATCCCAAAGGGATGAACGTTATTTCTGTTGAGCTACAGTGCAGTGAAACAGAGCGGCCCCGCACCGGCAAAGCCACAAATTGTTCACAGGTGCACAGGTGCATCAGTCACTGCGTAATATTGCTCATGACAGGTGAGGTTACATTACAGCATCCATTTCAAGAGTCCTAAAATCAATCAATCAATCAATCAATCAGTCAATCAATCCACCTCGTTCTAAACGCAAGATGAATTACTTTGGTCGAAAAACCACGGCTAAAAATCTGAGGCGACCTCCCTCCCGCTCGGGGCGCGGCGGGGCCGCTGCGGGGCAGCTCCGCCACGGGCGCGCTGCGGGAGCGGGGAGCGCTCCGAGGGGCGAGTGCGCCCGCCGGCCCCCGCGGCGGGACAGAGCGCTACCTGCACCGAAACGTGCCGTGTCTTTCGAATTTGCCATTTCCCTTTCGCGTTATGGCTAACACCCCATCGCCGCGCGTTTTCACGCAGAGGTGCCCTCGGCAATTATCCACGGGCTCTTGACGGGAAGCCCCCGCTCCAGCGGGATGAGACGTGGGGGGGTTGGAGGGAGGCGCGCACCCGGCAGGGGCTGCCCCTCGCTCACGGCATCCCGGAGCTCTCAGCCCCGCCGTGCCCCGCCAGCCGCGGGGCTCGCCCGCCCTCAGCGCTCCCGCAGCACCTGTTGCGGCGGGGCCGGGCCGGGCCGGGCCGGGGTGGGCAGGGGGCGCCCCGGGGGCCGCGGCGCTCGGCGCATGCGCTCTCCCCCCCCGTGGGGAATTGTTGCTCCTCGCCGAGTTCCATCGCCTGTCGCGTCCCCCCTGAGCTGTCGCCGGGATGGGGGCGGCGGCCGGGCGGGCCGCACCGCGGGAGTTGCTGCTGCCGCTGGCGCTGGCCGTGGCGTGCGCGGCGCGCAGGTGAGCGCCGCCGGCATGCGGAGGGAGGGAGGCGGGCGCGGGGCTCCCCGGCGGCCGCCCTAACCCAGCCTGTGCTCCTTCCCGCAGCGCCGACGGGCCCAGCAACATGTCCTTCGTGAAAGAGACGGTGGACAGGCTGCTCCAGGGCTACGACATCCGCCTCCGCCCCGACTTCGGAGGTGAGGCGCCCGCGCTCCCCCGACCCGCGCCCCGGCCCCTCGCAGGTGCGCTAACGCCGCCTCCCGCTCCCCCCGCAGGTCCACCCGTGGACGTGGGCATGCGGATAGAGATCGCCAGCATCGACGTGGTCTCGGAAGTCAACATGGTGAGTGACCCGCGGGCCGGGGCCGTGGAGCCCGGGCGCCGTCCCGCCGGTGCGGAGGCAGCCGGAGACCCGGGGCCGGGAGCCCGCCTACCTACCGAGCCACGGCAGGTGCTACAAAATAACCAAGGATGTTACAGTTGCTAGGAAAAGTTATTTTGCGTTTTTGACATGATGTTGGCACACCTGCGGTGGCGCTTCAGAAGAGCCCTTGGTCAGAATACTGGGTGCAGGTTTGAGGTTCTGGGTCCCGCCTTGCCCTGGTTTGCCCTTTGCGTAGTCAACAGCTGTCTTCGGAAATGTTGGAGTTTTTTGAGCTGTAGCAGCGAGGGCCAGATGTGCATGTTTTCATGTTAAATTATTCAAACTAACAGTTAGACACTTCACTTTGCAAGCTAGTGGCCTTGAGTAAAAGGTGCAAAGGAAAAATAAAAAGGAGATTCTAGAAAACACTCTTGTAGAAGGGAAAGAATAACGATGTTGCAGAATAAGTACAAAGGATGTTTCCAGCTATCAGAATCAGAAAAGTCTCGTAGCTACAGGTGTGAAACATACTATATTTGATTTCAGATCTACTGCAAGAAGGAATGCTAATAGACATGCAGGCTTAAAGAGCAAACGTCTCTGTTTAGTGCCTGCCTCATTTGACAGCCCTTTCCCAGAAGAAAACGAAAAATCAGTTGTAAATTTGAACATTATACAAAATCATGTTGAATTAGTCTGCACCATGGGCATTTTGCTCTCAGTCTCTTATGTTTGATCTCATATGAAAATCTTTCTCATGTGAAAATGCTTTCTATACATAGGGGAATACCTACTTAGTTAAAAGAAGCTAGAAATCTTACATTTCCGTCCTGATCAGCAGTTTGTTATATTGGGTGATATTTGCCCATGCAAAGTAATTTACTCAAGAGTGGGAATTTCTTCCTTGATGTATTAGTTAGTAGCTGTCATTAAAGCAGTCTCTTCAGGGATTGTTTTCATTTTCATGTTTAGTTTTTTTCTGTTATTTGTTATATATACACAGCTTATGTTTGTTTGTAACTGTAATATTTGCTTATGAATATGCATGGAGAATGGGGAGGCAAGGAGAGTTGTCACATAGTGTTTAGCACACCAGGTTCTGCAGACTGCTAATGCCACGCAGAGAACATTTTACAAGTTTCAGCTCCTGGAGTTCTTGTTGCTTGTATTGTACTTTCAGGAAGGAACGTGGTACAGACAGTACCATGGTACAGATGAGACAGAGGAATCAGAACACAGACCTTATCAAAATTGTCAAAGAACAAATATACTCCAACTCCAAACTACCTCTACCACCCTGTAATGGGATTGCTGCTTCTACAAAGCAGTACACCTGTGAAAAGCCGAACAGCAAAATACCTCTCCTGAAAGGTCCAGAATTTGTAAAGTCTCAGCACCTGAAGTATTGTTAATCTGTGAATATGTCAGTTTCCAATGGCAGTCTCACAGAGCATTAATTGCATCAGTTCACAGCATTTCTTAGCTGCATGCTGGATCCATCAAAGTTTTCTTCTCCATTCTAACACTTGCACAGCCCCTGGAAAATTGTAATTTGAACCTTCTGATTTTTGATTAGGGGAAGTTACATGCCAGATGGATTCTTTGAGTAATCTCTGTGTGCTAGGGGGGCAGCTTGATTAAAAGTGGTCAGAAAGTAAGAAAATGTTTTCATTTCAGAAAATGCTGCATATCACAGCAAAAAGAATCAACCGTTCCCAGTTATAGCCAATAGCCCATTACTTAAGGCAAAACACACAAAAAACAGTCTGCATTCTGAATCAATCTGAAAGGCCTTGCCCATATCACAAGTGCTACCCGTACATCCCCATGTGTAGAGTGTTCTTTGTTGTAAGGTCTTTATTGTGTTGCTAGAGACTGTCTGCCTGGTTTTGGACCATGACCAAAATGAGGGAATCAACATCTTGGCTTAAGAAAAGTTTTTCTACCTAGTAAAATAATGCATTATTCTAGTACTTTTTTTTTTTTTATGAGAAATCACAACTTTGAGACGCTTAATGTTGCAGTCACAGGTGAATTGTTTACCTTCTCTGCTTTTAAACTGTTGTCTTATAGATTTTTCTATTTTTAATTTTTTTAGTAAGAGCTACCATCCTGTGGCTTCAGACCCAGAAATTTTTTTCAGAAGATCCTAATTTATGGCTTCTTTTGGCTATAGGGTCATTTTCTTACTGAAGGAAACCAGTAACATGAGCGGGAAAGCAACACCCTCATCATGTGAGCTCCTCTGCCAAGAGAGTCCGGTTGGATTCCGCCAGAATTCAGTCAGTCTCACCTTAGCAGTATTGGAAGGAGTTGTCTTATCCCTTGGCTTTCCTCAGGAACATAAAACCTTATACCGAGAATAATAGAGACAGTTACTCCAAATCATGGTACCCACAGGGTTAAATTTTGTATTCCAGTCTCAATGCCTAAATAAGAGTAAAGGTTAATATATATGTATGTAGGCTATGAAGGAGATGTTCTCCTTTGGTGTGTTAGCTGAGACTTTGTCGTGGCTGTAGGCTCTCTGCCAACAGGCTGATTTGTATGTCCAAATATATCCAGTCCTCACATAAAAAGTTGAAATATAGACAACAGAATTATTTTGAATTCTCTGAACATCAGTGGTAATAACTGTCTGTTCAAGCAGCTTGTCTGATTGTAGTGGCTTCTTCTAATACACTAAACTATTGTGAAATACTTTAGTAATACTTAACTAATGAATCAAGAGTTGCACAGTCTTGAAGTCAACTGTTCTGTTATTTACCCCTGAGTACTTGGTCCTCATCTGTTCAGCTCTTTAAACATCATTGTTTTATGTCTGCGTGGTAGTTCAATAATACTGTGGTGAGCTGCCATAGCAACTTTTGCAAAAGGATTATTTGAAGTGATTGTTCTTATGACTCTCCCATTTGACATCAGATATGTTGTCTTATACTGAGTTTTACAGGAAATAACCTGAAGAGCTTGCCAAACAATGAACAACCAGGAGAAGTAGAATGTAAAAGTCCCAGGGACCACTGCTGACTTTCTCCCTAAAATACTTGAAGTTTTAGTGTTTCCATCAGATTTTCACATTCTTGCTACAGTAACTGGAAGCATTCTCTTCCAAAGGTACAAGGTGACCCTTCCCTCTGTCTCAGTTAATGACTGCTCGGCTAACTTTCATGCGTGACAGAATTCCCTTAGAAGTATATCATACACATACATTAATATAAAGATTTCATTAGGAACCATGCTATGACTAAATCTATTACACTGCTGTGATGTCTGGTTTGCTCTGAAACCTTTACATGGTTAACAGAAGGTGATGTTTGTACATCAAGAATAAACATGGATAGCCTGATTGATGGTAGTCCTGCCAAGCTTCATGGTATGCAAATAAATAATATATGGGTGTATCTGCTAGGAAACAGTCAAGAAGTAGCTAGACTCTTAAAAAAAAAATCACGTGGTTCATAACTTAATTTTCTCTAAAATTATTTCTTACTGAATAAAAGGTGTTAAAAACTTTATAATAGGCAAAAGATAGATTTACATATTTTAAAGTTTAAAAAAAAATTCATATGATAACTAACTTCTTTTAGAGCAGATAAAAGAGACCTCAAGAGGCAGAAAAAAAAAAGCCCTTTATTTTATATTGGGAACACTATTCCTGACCTACCATACTGATTTTACAATGATGATGATGTACTTTCTATGATCGCAGGCTGAAGATTTTGTGTCCCAGGAAAACAAGGTTAAAGAAAACATGGAAAGAATGTTCAGTTCTCTAGCTTCTCTACACTTGTACTAAAGGCTCTTACATTTAAAACTGGTTAACACACTCCAGAGGCAGAACTTCCCTTAACCTTAATAAACATATATATGTGTATATATATATATATGTGTGTATATATATATATATATACAAGCAAAAGTTTTTCAGATTTGCCTGTAAATCCAGAGCAAGGACATGGAATCCTCCAGGACCTAGAAGAGCAGAAGGCCTTCACCTTACTTTAGAGCTGATGCCAGCCAGGTTACTGTGGGATGTGGCCGTTTCTCACAGTGGGGTCCTATACTGATAGATGTTTAGTCAAGATAAGCTAAATCTATGAGTTTAAACACTGGGCTGAGCTGGGTAACCAAAGCACTGAAAGTTTGACCATTAATCCTGGCAGGCCAGAGCTCATGCAATAGACCCCAGTTTTAAGAATGGTAGAAAGATTTTCACGTATGGATGCAGGTTCTTGTCTATCTTAAGACAAGTTTTGCAAATTGAGAAAGGCTAAGTTTATAGGCATAGCCAGAGTTTCACAGGTCTTGTTCTTTCTCCCTGTCTTGATTAAGTATCTTGAGAATTGGCATGGTGGCCATTGTGAATCTCAGTGTAGGAAACAAACTCTACAATAGGGAACCAAATTGGCATTATGAACTCCATCTCATGCCTCTTTGAATCAGAGCATACAAGCCTCATTGTTTGTGATCTTAAGTCCGGTTCATATAGAACTAATAAGTCAAAACCTCCTTCAGTTCGTTCAGCCAATGTGGCAACACAAGTGATCAGGGTAGTCACAGTGACAATAAATATATTTACCTGAAGATGTTCATACAGATTAAACTGCCTTTTTTTTTTTTTTTAAAAGACTTAAAGGTCTGTAATTACTATTTAGAAATTGCGTAGTTCTAGGGCAAAAGAAGGAAGAAGTATTTTTCTGTTATATAGCATCTATCCTAAAGAACATGAAGGACATGCAAAAGCACTTTTACGTGATTATTAATAAGAATGTTCAGCAAATGGATTTTGTTTCTTTTTTTCAGCAAATGTGGAAAAACTAACCACATAATAATACATAAAGGTCAGATCATTTCGTCGCTGCCTATTCCAAACAGGAGTAATTATATTAAAGAGTAAAACATGGAATGAATGTAGAAATTGACAGCCTGAGGTTAAATGATTGGGTCACTGTTACTGGAAGTTTTGTTTGGTCATTTTT